GGATGTCACCTACCAATCAGAACCACCAGGCGGGGCCGCTCCCCAGGCTGCTGTTGGTACCTGGCCACCTCCTCGTAGGTCAGCAGCTCCTGAGACTCTGCTCCTGAGGGCACCTTTGCCTCCTGTGAGCCACCCAGCCTCTCCCTGCAGCCTAGCTGGAAGCTTCTCCGAAGGCCAGCTGGGGGAGGAGAAAAGGACAAGGTGACATTGGTTCTGGGATTCCCCAGTAAAGGCCTTCTCCAGGAGCCAGGCATGGAGGTAGGGCTGGGCGCCTGGCTGCCCAGCCTCCTGCCCTGGAGGGTCAGCACAGGAAGCATGCTGATATAAAGAAAGGGTGGGCCCCACACCCAGAGACGGGCTGGAGGTCACTGTTTTCCTTGACATGTGACTGACCTTAGTTAGTAAGTCTCTTCATCTCTCTGAGCCTCAATTTCCTTATCTGTAAAATGGGAACTGGGATGTACAGAGGCGGTGGATGGTTCTAGATTAGATCCCAGACCAGGGGGAAATGAAGGACATTATTGGGACAGCAGGTGACATTTTAATAACTGCACATAAGACAATAGAATTGTATGCAGAGGAAGTGTCCAAGGTTTGATCGCTATCCTGAAGTCTTGTTACAGGATGTCCTTGTCCTTGGGAAACAGAGACTGAGGTGCTTAGGGAGTAAAGGGACAGGATGTGTACATTAACTCTCATGTGACAGGCAGCAGAAAAGGAAATAAGAAAGACACTGGAGAGTTAAAAAAAAAAAAATCCCCAGGTCTGGTGTGGAGCGCCCAGGAGTTCTCTGTCTAATTCCGTGAGTTTGAAATCACATCTCAATAAACACTGCGAGACATTTGCCTGTCTTCTGTGACCTTTGAAGGGGAACCACTGGGAAAACAAAAATCCCATGGCTGTGTGTGGAGGTGCAGTTCACACTGATACACTCCGATTACAACAAGAAAGACAGTATCAGCGTCAATACGGGGCTCCGTGTCTCTCTCCAGCCCCGCAGGGGGCAGGACCTGGGCCTGAGTGGGCACCGCCTCCTACGGGCTGACTGTTGGCAATGAGGTGCAGGCCCCCCAGCCTCAGCAGCCCTTGACAGGTTCCCGGGGCTTGGATCTCAGGCTCTGGAGCCTAGGCCTGTGCATGGGCTTGGAGGGGTGCCGGGGAGAGCCTGCTACTCACCCACATAGTGCCCTTTGAGGTACCCTTCACAGTCACAGGTCTCTGGAAACCAAGCAGAGAGAAAGGCGAGTCACGCTGGATGCATCCTCAAGCCCACAGGGACCCAGCCCCTAGGTAGCCAGGCAGAGCCCTCTGGGATGGTGATCCGGGGAAGCTCTAGAGAAGTCTATCCCTGGGACCAGCTCTTCTGTGTCGCTCTGTTTTCCATGCATAATAGGCCCCAATAACCTTTCCAGCCAGGAAGCCCCCTCCCTGTCTTTGTGAGTTCCAGATGGGGCACAGGAATAATAAGATGGGAGGCCTCACCCCCCATGCCCCTGCCTTCCTGTCTCCTGACTCTTACCTAGCACTGGGGTCACAGTATCATCCTTTAATGCCAGACACATGGGGAGGGGTCCTAAGGCTTTGAAGCCCATTCCCACCCCACACATCTGGGCACAGGCTCCCAGGTACAGGGAGGAAAACCAGCCCCTTCGGCCCCGGAGGCTCCACAGCAAAGGGCCTCCTCACTCGTGTGCACGGGGACAGACCCCAGGCCTACCTTTGTCACAAGGCTGATCATCTGCAGTTTGCATAAAAGACAGATGGGACAGCGTTAGTGCTGGGAGCCAGGAAGCCCTGCGGCTGAGAGGCGGCTACAGCCTCGGCAGCCTGAGGAGATCTCCATCTGCCCCGTTTCCTTGCTCCAACAGGCCTATGATCTGAGCGGTGGTGCGTTATTAAGCTCCAGCCCTGCCAATTAGTCTTCTTGTGTGTGGCTCATTAGCAGCCAGAGAAAGCTAGTGTGTGGCCAGTAGAAGTGGCCTTCTGGCTGATCTCCTCAGCAGCCTCCTCCCCTGCCTGGAAACGTGACCGTTGGCAATGGCTGATGGAGTGACTCCTTCTGAGGTCCCACAGTGGGGAAAGGACCTGTTTCCCCCCCCCCTTTTCTGGAATTTAAGACCTGCTAGGAAAATGCGGGTACCTGAACAGGCCTCTCACTCAGTTAGACGCTACCAGCAACAGAGGGTAGATTTGAGGAGTGCCCTTCTCTGTGAGGGATCTAATCTGAGACCTGCCCGAAAGACCTCTAAAACCCAACAGGAAACCTTAGGAGCCTCCATGTTTCCACTTGGGGAGTGAGGTTGCTCTCCCACTCACTTCACAGGGCTTCTGTGACCAAAGGAGAGGGAAAGGCTCAGCAGGAGAGCGCCTGCCTGACATGCGAGGCCCTGGGGCTGGTCCTGGCACTACCCAACAATAATTCTTAAAAAATTCCAAAATGCAAGGCGGTAGGCGAGTCTGTTTTCAGGGCAAGGTGCACAGAGAAGACTATCCAATAAATACCGACCAACAAGCTAAAGCCATCTCAGCCACAGAGAATTTCTTAACATGCTTCTACGGGACGCACTAGAATGCAATTTATGTCGATCTCAAATTCAAGTCTAAAGAGCATTTTCTGCTTGAACTTCCCATTGCTGTCACAGAGGAGCAAGGACACTTAGCAAGGGTGTCCAACCTCTCCACTTCTCTGGGCCACACTGTCCTGGACCATACAGGGTTGTCCAATCCACGGCCCAGGGTTTGGGGAAGGGTACGTGCATTGGAGTGATGTTGAGACAAAATATTATCTAAAAGTTCACACTTGAGACCACACGATTGAGTCATAAAAATAAGTCACAAACCATCATAATGTTTAAGCAATTTTACAATTGGGGTACATCCATAGCTATCCTAGGGTGCATAAGGCCATGCATCGACACTCTGATTCCCATTCCATCAGCAAATTTTAATATTCAAGATCAAAGTGTTCCTTGGGAAGCTAAAGAGAGCTTGGTACTCTCTTCCAAACAGAGACACCCACAGAGGCTTGCACACCAGCTTGGAATAGTGTTAGCATGCTCCCAATGGTACCCGTGGACTCCAATATAGAAGTTCCTCTCTAGGACAGCTGCCCTCCCTCCCCACATTTCTTCCCACCTTCTCCGTCCTCTCCAGGTCTGCAGGCTCAGATGCTCCTCCCTCTAACCCAATGCCAGCTTCTTCAGCCCCTCCCGCGCCCCACCTCCGTCAGTCTACTCACAGGGGGGCTTTTTGACGCTCTGGGGGCTTGGCAGGCTGCCAGTTGTTCTCCGATAGCTCAGCCGCCTGCAGAGACACAAGTGGACATCATCAGCGGGACCAGAGAACTAGCTGAAGAGAGCCTTCTAGAAAGCTGGGGAAACCGAAGTCTGAATCCCACAGCTGGGCACACCTGGGCACGCCGAGGACCTCCTGCTTCACAGTGAGTCCTGGGTAGAGGAGGGTGCACTTTCACAGAGCTGACTAGTTTAAAACGAGGGAAAAAACTGAGTCTCCTGGCTTGCAAAAGCCTTGTCCTTCCCAAGACAGCCCCACGAAAAAATGCTGGCTGGTGCCTCCAGTCACCATTGCTGGTTAGGCTACCATGGCTGACTCCTGAGGCAGGGAGCTTCCTGCCTCTACCCCTACCCTGCCTCCCCATTTCTGAGGAAAAATGGAAATGGGCAGAAGTCTCAGGAAGGTTATGGGTCCGAAGTGACACTGATCTAACATCCCCCACATACACTATTGCAGGGTGTGGCCTTCCCCAGCAGTATCCAATACGGTTGTCAGACAGGCAGTCACCCAGGCCACCCCGGTGCCCCCATCACCCCAGGGCTCTTGCGTCATCTAGATTCCACATTTCAAATGGAGGCAAGAGTCTGGGGAGAAAGTTGGTAAAGTGCCAGCCACGCAAGCATAAGGAACCAAGTTTGATCCCCAGCACCTACCATTTAAAGAAACAAAACAACTCCTTGTAATGCCAGCTCTGGGGAGGCACAGACAGGGCATCCCTAAGGCTCACCGGCCATCAAGACTAGCCAAATCAGTGCGACAGGTTCAAGACCCTGTCTCAAAAACGTAAGTGGAGAGCAATTGAGGATGACACTGGATACTACCCCCAGCCTCCACATATGCACACACAAGTGCATGGGTGCACGCATACACACATGCAAAAAATAAATAAAAGTAATAAAACAGAGGTAGGAGCTCTCTCCCACCTCTAAGACAGTGAGACCTGCAAACCCTTCTGTGTGCACGATCACTATAGCAACCTGTAACAGAGAAAAACTGCAGCCCACGTTAGCAGGCAGCCACAGGGAAGTCAAACAGTACTCAGGCATGACTCTTCCTCTGTGAAGCCTTCCCTGCATGCCCAGACAAGAGTGCATGCTCCTGGTACGAGATCACAAAGAAAACGTCCCTCACAGAAAGCGTTTGCTGGAAGAAGGCCTGTTTTGTCCTCTGCACTGTGAGCTCCTTCAGGGCAGAGCAAGGGTTCATAGCTGAGGTAAGATGCCTAACACAAGTGCCAGGTATGCAGGCTTGCACCTGTAATCCCAGCACTCAAGAGGCTGAGACAGTCCTGCCATAAGTTCAAGGTCAGCCTGTACCACACAGCAAGACCCAGCCTCAAAACAACAATACTAACAACAATAGCAACAATGATAATAAATTAATAAAAATGGCAAAGGGGCTGGAGAGATGGCTCAGTGGTTAAGAGCACTGGCTGCTCTTGCAGAGGACCCAGGTTGGATTCCCAGCACCCACATGGCGGCTCACAACCACCTGTGACCCCAGTTCTATAGGAGATCCAACGCCCTCTTCTGATGTCCACATCCCCAGGCACTGCATGCACATGGTGCGCATAACGTACACCCAGGTGCACACACACACATGAGATCGTTTTTAAAAGATGTACAGCGCAAACCAAACCAATCCTAACAAATACAGCTCCAGATCAAGTATACATTCCTAATGAAATATCACATAACCATTAAGATTATATATATGAGGAATATGTAAACATGGGAAACGCTAATGTCAAAATCTCAAGTTTAGGGGCTGGAGAGATGGCTCAGAGGATAAGAGCACTGATTGCTCTTCCAGAGGTCCTGAGTTCAATTCCCAGCAACCACATGGTGGCTCACAACCATCTGTAATGAGATCTGGTGCCCTCTTCTTCTGGCCTGCAGTCATACATGCTGTATATATAATAAATAAATAAAATTTAAAAAAAAATTTCAAGTTTAAAAAGAGGAAATTCTGTGTGCAACACACACACACATAGCACAGGTGGGAAACAGATTGTGCTCTTCAGACACAGCAGGACTCTGGGCAATTTTTTCTTCCTAGTCCCCTTCTGAACGTTTACCAATCCATTTTCTGTTAGTTCATATTATAAGGAATCTTTGGTCCTGTGTCCTTGAGCTCCACATCTGCAGAATCGACCAAATGCAGCTTGAAAATATTGGGTGGGGGAGAACACACCTGTGCCTCTCCTGGCTGTGAACTTATCTCTTCTCATTGTGCCCACACAACACAGCATGCCAAGCTGTCATACGGCACTCACCCTGAACAGCTGTCTTCCTTTATCACTGTGATAAGATGCTATGACCAAGGCGACATATAGAAGAAAGATCTTAATTTGGGGCTCACAGTTCCAGAGAGTTAGAGTCCATGACCACCATGGTGAGGAGCATGGCAGCAGGCAGGCATGGTGCCGGAACAGTGCTGAGGGCGCACATCTCAACCCACAAGCACAAGGCAGAGAAAACCAACCGGGCATGGTATGGGCTTTGGAAACCTCACAGCCCACCCCAGTGACACACCTCCTCCAACAAGGCCTCATCTTCTAATCCTTCCCAGAGGGTTCCACCAACTGGGGACCAAGCATTCGAACACAAGAGCCTATGGGGGCTGTTCTTATTCAAGCCACTATAATATGGCATCCAAAAATCATCCAGAGAAGAATGATAACACCAAAAGAATATGGGGGTGGAGGGTCATATGCAAACGCAACACCATTCTATGCAAGGCCCTTAAGCACCTATCGATTTTGGTATCCAGAAGGTTCTAGAAGCAATCCCAAAGTATACTAAGGGGCAACTGTATACATTAACTCAGCTCAAATGTCTAGCTGGTCCTGATATGAGGCCTGGAGGGAGGCTGAGGCAGAAGGACTGCAAGCCAAGGCTATCCTGGGCTAAAGAATGAGCTCAAGGCCAGCGTGAGCAACTTAATGAGGCCCTGTCTCAAAACAGAAAAGTGAAACAAAAGACCGGGACTGAGCTCAGGGGTAAAGCCAGGTCCTGGGTTTGATTCCCAATAGTGAAAAAGAAAAGAAAATGTCCACATATTTACTTAAATCTCAAATGGCCAGCTCCACTGGCTATGGGGCCAGAACAGACACAATAGCAACTGCTATTTCCCACAGTGAGCTCCCCCACAACTGAAGTGACAGAGACCGGGGGGGGGGGGGGGAATTCCGTGTACCCAGACCACCAGCCACACCACGGCAGAATCCCAAACCTACCTCTCCTGGAACTGCTTGGAGGGGATGAGCCCAGCTCGAAGGTTCGTGTCTCCCACTCTCTTGGCCTGCCACCAGGTGGGGTCGTCCTGGCTCACCACCTCCAGGACCTGCCTCCGCTGGAAGGGCAGGCCTGCCTCCTGGCAGGGGATGGCACGGTCCTCCCGAGGGTCATAGTGGAAGAGGGCACGCATGAACACCTGTGGGGCAAGGGCTGCTGTGAGGGGCCCTTCTATATAAGGGCCCAGGCCACATAATGACCGTGGTTATTCAAAGTCAGAAAACACAACTGGCCCCGAGAGCAGAAAGCTAGTTAGAAATACCCTGCGTTTGTTTCTTCCTGTTCGTCGTCCATCTGAGATACGTGACTCGAGAAACCCGGAGGTAATTGGGAAACGAGGGGCTGGGAAACGGCTCAGAGGTACAGTGTGCTGGTCTAGCATCTCTGAGACTCTGCTTCCATCCCCAGCAACACCAACACCAAAACAGAGCCAGAAAACGGGAGGGGGGGGTTGGGGGGGTTGGGGGGGATGGGTAAAGGCGCTTTATACGCAAGCTTGACAACCTGGGTTCCATCCCCCAGTTTCCTCCATTGGAGAAAAGCAACCCCTATAAGGAAGTTGTCCTCTGGCCTCCATGTGTGCATTGTGGCACGCGCACACACACACACACACACACACACACACACACACACACACACACACACACACACACACAGCCTTAATTAAAATGAAAATGCAAAAAGAAAAGAAAAGAATGTGCAGACAATCCCACATCTGGCTTTCTCTTTCCAACCACAATGTTTCCCTGACCCGCCATCCTTAGAGCCTCAGCCACACAAAGTAACAACTCACCCTGGAGACGAAAAGCAAACACATGCACAACTTGTAACCATTGTAACTTTTACTACAACCGCTCCTGATGAAGTCAGGCGCCATCTGTGCAAGTAAGGACCCTGGAGGTCCTGGGAGGACGGAGTCCAAACATCAGCAAAACTTACATGGCCGACGGACTTCATCTTCACTTCCCAAGTCTGTAACCGGCACCCAGTTTCAACAGCCCCACCATGCCTTGTCTGCCATGGACTTGGCCAAGTCCCCTCTCTGGGGAAGGTGGGCTAGGACACAGAATTGCCTCCCACCTCTTGGTTTGCTTGTCTCACAATGCTGTGAATTCAAGTACCCTAGCTCTAGACTAAGTAGCCCCATTATTACAGTGGCACATGGAAAAGAAAGAGGTCAAGGGTCATCTTCAGACGCACCTGAGTGAGATTCCTCATGTGCCAAAAACAAAAGGTTCCAGTGGACAGCAGTAAGAACCTTGTGAGGTAGGGACAGATACCCTCACCCAAATACTGACACTACAGTGCCCTGAGTGGCTGTCCAGGGGGATCAGTGGGTCACAGAGATTGAAGGGGATGGGGCTAAGGGACAGGGTGCCACGCTCTTTTCCTGTATCAGCCACACAGGATGCTATGGTCCCACACAGGGGTCAATATCATTTACGGTCTGGGATTGAACCCAAGGGTGCTAGGAAGAAACAGCCATGGGAAGGTTGTTCCTTCACTGGCTGCAAAACAAGAGGCCAGTGAAGACACTGGCTATTCTCAATCATCTGTCCTTCATCAATAAAGCATTGGCATCTCTGCTGAGCCAGAGGCTGTCCTGCGTCTTCTTTCATGCATTCAGCACAGGGTGGCGGGGCTGGGGTTGGCCCGCTTCCTTCCACCCCCGAGGAAAACTCATTTTGTTCCCCTTTCTGCCTTACATCCAAGAACTTCAAATTCATTATAACGTCAAATCGATACCCTCTTCAATATCCTTTGCCATTCTCAATAATCTCCCACCTGGGCTTCTAAACAGCCTCACTCTGCGCCTCCCTGCCTCTGGCCTCCACCCACTCCCCTGTCCTCCAGGGCAGCAGTTCTCAGCCTGTGTGTCTCGACCCTGTGGGGGTTCCACATTAGAGAACTTGGGCTGCCCAGACAGCTTCTTAAAACGCCCTTGTGGTTGCAACGCCCTTGACCTTTCACCAAGGCAGGCGAGACGGCGGGTGAAGGGGCTTGCTGCCAACTCTGACCACCTGAGTTCCCTCCCCAAAACCCACATTGTAAAAGGAGCAAACTGAGCCCTGCAAGTTCTCATCTGATCTCCATGAGCGTGCTGTGATGCATTCGCCCCCCCACACCCAATAAACAGGCCTTCGTACCACGATGGGGCTGTCTCTTGGGCTCTGGGTTGCTCTCCCACCCCTAGGGTTGTACATTTAGTGCCTGCTGGCTGACTTCAGGGTGCACCTGCACCCCTTTGCCTGAGGACTTACTTCCTGTGGCTGCGGAGTTTGCTGTCTCTAATCGAGCAGTCACAAACTACAAAGAACAAAGCCCCAGTGCCTGGTAGGAGTTATGTACACATCTCTCCAGCTCTTGGCTGGGAAGAGCGACAGGCATGTTCTGATCCCAAAAGCCCTTCAGGATTAAGCTTCAGGCACCCTCAGGGGGTGGTGACTTCTGGGTAGCATGCTCTCCAGCAGGACTGCCTGCCCTTCCCCTTACCTCCCTACCCATGAAGCCTGAGGTCACTTCCCACCCAATAAGCTGTTTGCCTTCAAACCCTTAAGCCAGGGTCAGCTACAGGATCACCTAAACCAGGCAAGAGTTGTGCGGAGCCCTTCACAGCTGAACCCACATCCCCAGCAATGCCCCTCCGACCCAACCCTCAAGCCCTACCACACTGCACTTTCTCCCAGATTCCCCCCAAAACATGCTCCCTGCCACGGGCCTCTAGGCTCTTGTCTAATAGATGCCTTGATCTGACCCTTCTCGCTGAAATTCTAACCATCTTTACCTCCCTCCAACCCCTGCACCCAATCCAAAACGCCTTCTGAGATGTCTCTCACGCTAGAGTCTTCCAGAAGCACTTAGCACACAGTACTTGTTCAACAGCCTCCTCTTCTACAGTAAAACCCCTCTAGCAGAGAGCCCAGCAGAGAGGTCAGGACCACAGGTAGGCCCAGCGAACGACCAAGCTAATGGCAGCTACTTCACTGGTCCAGAATCCAGTTCCTAAGCACCTTCTCTCCATGGCCCAGATTTTCTCCTTCAATTACAGTAAGCTTGTCTTTTGTTAGCACACCACGCAAAATCCTGTTTCCAAACAGCAGGGTACAGTGAGTCACTTAGGACTATTAAAGTCCTCGGCTGGAGAGAGGTTACTAGGGCCAGATGCACAAGCTGTTCAGATGACTGTGTCCAAAGCCTGGCAAGGTTCAGAACGCCCACTCTGCCCCAGTAGAGCAAGCCCCGGGAGCCCACTTCCCCATACCTTGCTCTCTTTGAAGCGGTCTTCCTCCTGGGTGGCAGGGATGATCTTGAGGGTGATGGATCCCTGGGACTGGGCCTGAAGGGAGGGGGAACAGAGGCCCATGGCTTTCTAGACCCGATGCTCAGTGAGTCTGTCTTACTTCCTTTTTTTTTTTTTTTTTTTTTTTTTTTTTTTTTTTTTTTTGGTTTTTTCGAGACAGGGTTTCTCTGTGTAGCTTTGCGCCTGTCCTGGAACTCACTTGGTAGCCCAGGCTGGCCTCGAACTCACAGAGATCCGCCTGGCTCTGCCTCCCGAGTGCTGGGATTAAAGGCGTGCGCCACCACCGCCCGGCCTGTCTTACTTCCTAGGTGGGTGTTCAGAATGAAAGGCAAACTGACAGCTTCCACTCCCCTGCCCTGTGGAATTTGCTATTAAGAATCAAGTGCTTGCCTAGGACAGTTGATATTGACTGCCAGGGCTAGAACAAGTAAGGAAATAAATACAGTGCCTGGTCATGGGACAGAGAGACTGGAGGTTTTCAAGACAAGGCATGCATTGAGTTCCAGCTCCCCAAAGCTCCAGACCTCAGGGGTCCCAAGACCTCGCCTTCTTGACGTTCCTTGGGCTAGTTTAAGTTTTACTTTTTGTGTATATGAGTGTTTCGTCTGCATGTATGTCTATGTACCAATTGCATGTCTGGTGCCTATGAGGCCAGAAGAGGGCATCAGATCCCCTGGCACTGGAGTTACAGATGATTGTCAGTCATGATGTGGGTGCTAGAATTGAACCTGGGTCCTTTGGAAGAGTAGCAAGTGCTCTTAACTGCTAAGCCATCTCTCCAGCCTCTCTTGGGCTATTTTAATAACCCACTTCAGTCAAATTATCCTGGGTCCTGTCTGATTAGTACTTCCGTCCTTGGTCCCTGAGCTCTGATCTTAGACCACTCCCACCTTTCTATGAGGTTCCCTTCCCTTCAGAGACCCGCACCTCAGTGTCAAGACCCAGGAAGAAGAACAGGATGACCCCCCCCCCAAGGACACAGAAGTTCACTCTAAGCATGAGGAGTTTAGTGTCCACACCAGGAGCCGATGATGCTCACACATAAACACCAAAGGGCCAGCTACATCTGTGTCATCCTCCACCCCAAACACAGAGGGGGGCGCTGAAGGACAGTCCTGTCTCTTTAGTGCTGATCTTATTTGTATCAGAAGTTAGCAAAGTCAGTGGAGGATACCCAAGAATGAACCTGTCTCAGCTGTGGAGGCGCTCTCCACAATCTCCATTTTGCCTCATCTGCCCCAGAACAGACTACGACATTGTTTCCATCCCCCGAATCTGCTCACTGTTATAAAGTACCTCACACCCTTCTTCCATGCTAATAATAACCAGGCACAAGTTGAAAAACCCTCTTGTTGTAGAATATTATTTTAAGATGCGTTACATTTGTTTATGCTGTGGGACATTTGTTTGATGATGCAAAGATGTGTTGCATTCTTTTATGTTGTATTTGTTTAACTCTGTGAAGCTGTGTTACTTTGCCTGTCTAAAACACCTGATTGGTCTAATGAAAAGCCGAACGGCCAATAGCAAGGCAGGAGAAAGGATAGGTGGGGCAGGAAGGCAGAGAGAATAAATAGGAGGAGAAATCTGGGAAGAGAGGATCAAGGAGCGAGAAAAGAAGGGGCCAGCCATCCAGCCACACGGCCAGACATGGAATAAGAAGGAAAGAAAAGATATACAGAAACAGAGAAAGACAAAAGCCCAGAGGCAAAAAGTAGGATAAGTTAAGAAAAGCTAACGAGTAACAAGCCAAGCTAAGGCCAGGCATTTATAAGAAAGAACAAGACTCCGTGTGATTTATCTGGGAGCTGGGTGGCAGGTCCCCCAAAAGAGCAAAACAAACAACTACACCCTCTCTGTCCCTATGTTAGCACAAAGGAGGCTGAAAGTCAACTGGACTAAGATAAACCCGAAACTTGGAAGGTTCTCAGACAAAGGAGCTGGGGTGAAGAGGAAGGCCAGGCTGGAGAGGAGAGTTGAGAGAGGCAGGTGAGCTGCAAACCATTTTGTCTGCCCCACCCTCACACAAACAGGGAAGCAGAGACAAGGTCTGCCCTGGCTCTGGGAAGCCCCCATGCTGGGTCTCTGAAGACCTCCCTCCCTACAGGCATGCCACACAGACCAGAATCTGGCTGATCTCGTCTGGACGCTTGTGCAGGACGGCGATCCCGTTCACCTCTCGGAGCTCATCACCAACGTGGACCAGACCTAGGAGACACAGGGATGGAAGCTAGCTCAGCACTAAAATGGTGGCCCTGACGCTGGGCTTCGTGCCTTCGGACACCAGGGAAGCCACTGCAGGACAGATTCAGGTCTAAAGATGGGGAAGAGTGACACATACTCCGCACCCAAGTCAAACCGTCCTCTGCGGAGGTTCCCATGGACAAGCTACATTTGAGAGCCAGACACACAACAGTCTTGACAAAGCCACACTGCTAAGAAGTAACAGGGCTAGCACACACTCACAAGTGCTTCAGCATAGAAAGCTGCACTGAGGTGGTGGTGGTGCACACCTTTAATTCCAGCACTTGGGAGGCACAGGCAAGAGGACCTCTGAGTTCGAGGCCAGCCTGGTCTACAGAGGGAGTTCCAGGACAGTCATGGCTACACACAGAGAAACCGTATCTCGAAAAACCAAAAAGGAAGGAAGGAAGGAAGGAAGCTAGCTGCATATTTTCTGCCACACCTCTGCTTAGAGAGAGACAGAGAGTGTCTAGGTATACAGATGTGTGGATATTTGTGTACACATGCATATAGAGTCCAGAGGACACAATTATCTCCCCTCAGGCACCATCCACCTTGTTCTTTGAGACAGAGGCTTTCACTGGGACCTGGGATCCAATGCTTTCCTAGCACTGGAATTATAAGCGTATGAGGCCACATTCAAGGTTTTTTACGTGGGTCCTGGGGATCAAACTCAGGGCTTCATGCTTGGGTGGTAAGCACTTTACCAACTGCGCCATCTCTCCAGCCACTATCTCTGCTTTCTTAAAGTATCATTAACTTTTTACTCTCCTGGACTGCAGACACACTCCAAGAATATTTTTCTTTCTTTCTTAAGTCTTAATGAAGAAACTTAAAGGCACCAGTACTTATCTAAGTATGTATGTATCTATGTATCTACCTACCTACCTATCATCTGTGTATCTATTTATCTATGTATCTGTCTATTTACCTATGTATCTATCTACCATCTATGTATCTATCTACCATCTATCCATCTATCTATCCATCTACCCACGTATCTATCTCCCCATCTATCTATGTATCTACCTCTATATCTACCTACCTATGATCTATCTATCAATCAATCTAATCTAATCTAACCTATCTATCTATGTATCTATTTATCTGTGTATCTATCTATGTATCCATCCATCCATCCATCTATCTTGAGACTCAGGTGGTCTAGGCTGACCTCAAACTCACTCTGTAGCAGGACATGACCTTGAAATTCTGATTCTCCTACCTCCACCTACCGAGTGCTGGGATTACAGGTACACCACCATGCCCGGTTTTATGCCCGGTTTTATGCAATGCTGCAGATGGAACCCAAGGCTTCATTCATTCTGAACAAGCCTATTACCAAATTAGCTGTCCACTCAACCTAGCTTTATTTGTTTCCTTATTTACTTTGACAGGCTTTCGTTAGGTGGCCCAGGCTGGTCTTGATCTCTTGTATGCAAGGAATTGTCCCCTCAGAACCTCCCAAGCAGCTGAGACTTTAGGCACAAATGCCACCACACGCAGCACGTATCCACCACTTCAATGACAATCGTCCTGACATGATTTGGCCTCTTTGTTGCTGAGTGGGCACTGGGCCAGCAGCAGCCACCACCACCATTAGGAGTGCAGATTTCTGAATCAGAGCCTATGTTACCAATATGCTCAGGGGCCTGTGTTCGGAAGTAAGGCCTAGGATTCTCCAGTCAGCTTTGCAGACCTGGAAGGTAACAACCCCCTACACAGAGAGGCCTGCCTACCAGATTTCCCACGCACTGATGGCTGTCAACCTGTTTTCCACCCAAACTAATCTGGGTCATGAACACATTCCTGTCCACAGCCGTTTCACAAGGTGATAGGGCTACTGGAGGTGGCCAGGATCATCCCCACCCCAGCTAGGAATCCCCAGTTAAGCCCATCTCCAAGCTTAAGTGTTATAATCTCTGCCTACACCAAATGCCTGAGCCGTTTCCTGATCACCCATGAGGACTCCAAGCCTATTAGGCTTCAGTTAAATTCCTATTGACCTTGGGACCTTGAGAATTCCATCTACACTCCCCAAAGCGAAGCAAACCCCACAGAGGTTACCCTAGAGTGGAGACAGAGAGCCACCATCTCAGCCAGGCTAGCATCTCATCACTCCACGGGCTCCACTCACCGCTCCGATCTGCCGCACCCCCTCGCATGATCCTGGCCACCACGACGGCCCCTGAGTGCTCATCTCTTCGGATAGTGGCACCCTGAGTGAGAGACAAGAACAGACAGGCTCCAGCAAGGCAGCCTCAACCGACACCGTTTCCTTCGCCATCCTCCTCCCCGCACACCTCTGCCACCTTGGGAAGGTGGGTCAGTGGGGACCTTCCCAACGCCGAGAACACCATGAGACCAGGAAGAAAGAATGAGGAAAACTCCACACTTTGCAGCTTACAAAGCACCATGATCCACTCTGCACAAGGGACTAGGCCTCTTGAGTTGGGTGCGGTGGCACATGCCTGCAATCCAAGCACTCAGGAGGTGCAGAATGGAGAATTAAGAGTTCAAGGTCATCCTCAGCTACACAATGAGCTTGAAGCCAGCCTGAGCTATTTGAGACTCTGTCTCAAAAAGAAGAGTAATTAAACAGAGCAAGTGGGATGGCTCAGCTGGTAAAGGGGTCTCCCACCATGTCTGACTTCAATCGCCAGGGCCCACGGAGCAGAAAGAGAACCAACTGCTACAAGTTGTCCTCTGATGTCTACACTTGTGCTGTGGCACCCCCCCCCCCCACACACACACACATACATGCATGCACAAAACAAATAAATGCAATTTAAAATGTTATATAAACAAATAAGACATGAAGGACTAGGTATCAGAGAAGCTAAGAATCTTCAAAGCCACCCTCACAGAAGAGGGGAGCTTTTGATGGTGCCAACCCCAGTGTTCCCTCTGTCTCAACACAGCCCTTGTCCCTCGCAGAGACATTTAATAGCGAGGACAGTATGTGCTAGCAGATTCTCAACCTGCCTCAAGCCAACCCCAGTGTTCCTGGGCCTTCTGTTGTTGCCAACAGGAACCAATTATGCCCCCGCCAGAGCATCAGGACCAGGATTTGGCCATACATAGAGATGGTTTCTGGGATAAAAAAAAAAAAAAAAAAAGGCACTAATGAGCTCCCAATTTCCTGTACCAGGTAAGTAGGCCCATGTCAGCACAGTGATGGGGGGCAGGGGGGGGAAGCCGAGCCCAGACAACCAGCTCAGCCACTGACTAGAAATCATGTGGCCTCAGCAAGGAAGGCCCTGTGTTCTCTGAGTCTGCTACCTCTAGGATGAGGGAGAGCATTTAACTCAAGGGTTGTCATAAGGGTCCCATAAGGAAACACATGTGATATGTAAACAGTAAGGGTCCAATAAATGTCCATCGTTTGTTACTGACTATCCACGCAAACATTGCACGTTTCTTATTCCTACATTTGTGTCATCACGAGAAGCACAGAAAATGAATTCTGCTGACGACAGAGGCTGTCCACTACACCTCCCGAGGCCCACTGTCCCCCATCGCTGCCCATCCCATATTCCACTCTGAACCACCTCCACCCCCAGCACTGTGAGTGCCCCGGAGGGATCCCGGGATGTGTGCCAGCTCCAGGGCACAGGTCCGAGGAAGCAGTGGCAATGGAGACCTCTTCATCTGTTGGGAGAACATGGCTCGCCCATCACAGGTCAGCTTGGGAAAACTGGAACCAGAGAATGTCACCTCTGGGGGTTCTCTGAGGCGAGTACTAAGCTCTCCGGGCACCCACCACTTCCTTCCATCTGATAAATAAACTCGCCTCTTTGCTCAGTCCTTCACTGCTGAAAGCTGGGGGGGGGGGGGGCTAAAACAACACTCGTCTGTCAGCTTCCAGCAGAGTATGGCTGCGATCATACTACCTCGGTATTCAGAGCCGAGTCAGCAAACTCTGTCTATAAAGGATGGAATATACGTAACTAAGGCTTTGAGGGGAGGCTCAGGTCTCCGCTGCCATTACTCAACTTCTCGTGACAAATGAATGAGCATGACTTTGCTTTAAAAAAAACAACAAAATTAAGCTGTAGGCTACATTCGGCCCTGGGACTGAGTCTGTTGACCTGTTTCCCAGCATGGTGACCACTGTCACCCTACACAGCCATGCAGGTTGAGGACTACACAAAATGGGTTAGCCACAGTTGAGAGGAGCTGCATCCACCCAGGCAAAGGAGCATCCTGCACACAAAGGGGCTACAGAGAAGAGTCACCCTGGCAAAGTGACTGTCAGTCACCGTGAATTCGGGAGGGTGCCTTCCTGGCTTTCCAGGTTGGGGGCGAGAGGCAGAGGCACGTGGGGGGAGAGGCCTGTACATACCAGGGGCTCTTTATTCTTTACCAAGCGAACAATCTTCACCGATTCCTCCTCAAAATCCTCGTCGATATTATCAGGCAGAGGGGGCAGAACAGGATCAAAGTTCTTCTGGGCAACTGTGTCGTGTACCATGAGCACAGCCTGCCAGAGAGCCAGGGAAAGGGGCTGCTGGTACTATGCCCTCACAGGGTCAGGGGGTCCTTGGCTGGGCAGGGGTAGAAAGGGGCTCAGGTCATCTGCCTAAGAAATGCCCCCTGTCCTCAGGGCATCACTTAGGATCCTTCACACAGAAGCCTCCTCCTCTCCATCTCAGGACCCAGCACTCCCTCCACCCCCCATCCCAGGAGACCCAGATGCGTGGGTGTGCAGGGACTGCAGCGTGACTACCCTGAGGTGGGGGGTGGACAGCAGCTGCAGCAGTTCCCTCTCATCACTGTGCACAGAGGCGGCCTGCAGCTCCTCCATCACCTGTAAGAGAAGGAGACAGGAGGCTGGGGTGCCCCTGCGGGAGCCTGCTGGAATCCCCAGGGGAAAGCCCTCTTCCCTGGGCCCCAGACACAAGGATCCTCTCAGGAATGACTACATCACCCAGAAACATGTCAGACCTGCCGCTCCAGGACTGGTGGGGGATCTGGGGAAAATCAAACCAGGAACCAGAAGCACTCACACATGAGCAGTAGGGTAAACCTACTGGACATTGTCGCTTTATATGGGTCTTCTCAACAAACCAGATGCCATGAGCACTTTAATTTTGCTATTTTAGAATGAGAATCTTGAGGCCCAGAGAGATTACAAATCTTGCCAAGGATCACAAAGCTCACAGTGGCAGAGCCAGGATTTAAACCCAGCCTCATCCAGCCGGACATCTGTACTCTTGACACTAGGCTATCCCACGGCCAAGGACACTGGGGCTGAGAGGTTGGGTGACTTGTGTGAGGCCACACAGCTAGCAGCAAAGCTGGCAATGCGGAGCCTGGGGATGTAACCCACTCCAAATGGTCACATTGTAGAGGAGCAGATGCGTCTGTCACAGACCACACCATCCGCCACAGGGCCATCTTCTAGTCTGAGACTCTCTGGGAAACAGCTGAGCTAACTAGATGGATATTAAGTGACCTATACAGGAGTCAGTCTACGTCAACAACCCAGATAGCTAAACCCAAAACCCCAAGAACTCAGGTCCCTGAGGAGTCAAGATGCCAGAGCTAGTCAGCAGGGACACACCGTAAGTCCCTTGAATTCAAGACTTCATGGCAGCCTCCCAAAGCCCAGACACAAGGCACCATCTGACCTACTAATATCACCAGGAACAGGTGGGGAGCTACTGACAGGATCCAAGGCTCTCATTTTACAGCTGAGGGAACAGGGTTGCTCCAGATCACACCGTCAGCAGGAATTGTCTCCTGGCCCAGGCTAAGACCCTCCTTGATGCCAGAAGGCTCAGGGAGCACTTGAGCTACAGCTCAGCCATACAACACTTGCCTAGCTTGTACAAAGCTCTGGGTTTGATCCCCAGCACTACACACACACACACACACACACACACACACACACAGGATAAAGGAGGAGGAGAAGGGGGAAAAGGAAGTGACTCCTCCCTCTTCATCCTCAGGCTCCCAGCCTCTGATGTCCCCAGCTAAGCAGTGGTTACAAGGCAAGCAAGAGCATTTTCTGGGACTGGAGTGGTGCTCCACCGTGAATCAAAACATTAAAATCAGGGACTTACATCCTCAGCGAGGGCCATGGCACTGTGCAGGACTGGGGTCGGGCTCTGCCTCTCATAATAGCGGAGTTTCTCGTGAATCTGCAAAGATTCATGATTTCTGCTGCTTTACCTTGAACACCACACACCGCACCCAGGGTTGTGGTGACACCTAGGGCCACACGCTGGGTCCCCTCCACGGCAGGGTATATGGAAAGCCCTGCCTAGTGAGTTAAAAGCCTTCACGGGGCAGGGAAGTGGCTGGGATGTCACAGGGAAGAGCCTCCCTCGGGGATGGGGAGGGAGGCAGAGCGGGCTTTCACCTTCATCAAATAGCTGAGGCTCTTCTCACTGAAGACGTCCCTCAAGAAGCCCATCTCTTCCCTGTGGTTAGAGTCAGGCCTGAGCTGAGAGGTCAGAAGTGCCAGGGTCTCATGCAAACCTGAGCAAGAGCAAGACAAACAAGGTCCAGAAAGAGCGGGACTTCCTGTCCTTGAGAACTCTCTCAGGCATCCTCGACCCACCGACAGCATTCTCCCTGCAGGCCTAGGTCTGCAGAGTGGGCAGGCAGCAGCTTCCAGAGGCAACACCACACACCTGTTTTTGTGTTTTGTTTTGTCTTGTTTCCCCCCAATCCTGGGAGGCCTGGCAGGTGCAGCCCAGGTGGAGGACACTCACCCGAGTCTTCAGACAGCACAGGCATGCCTATGCCTGGCAGGTCCCCAGCTGTCCCTGCAGTTTGTGGGTGGGAAAGGAGTCACTCAGCAATGAACGCACATCACCTGGATCTGCTTATGACCTATGTAAGGAGAGAAGAAATTGGTCACTTTTTTCAGGGAGTGGGTGGGCAGAGAGCAAGATTTGTTGGGTACTCCCAATATGCCAAACATTATTATAATTTCTGACTATGCATAAAACCTTGAAGATAAACACCAATGCTCCCCCACTTTACGGATGAAGAAACAGAGGCTGGGGGCCCTAAGTAACTTTTGAGCCGGAACAGGTACTCAGATCCCTTCTTCCAGACTGACCTTGGCAGTGCCAAGAGTCCCTGCCTTGTGCAGGGTGCTCTCGCCCACAGCTCTGCCCTCTCTATTGCTACCTTCTAAGAGCGTTTGCTCAAGTCCCCGGCCGCAACAACCCTTCAGTAAGTACCTGGTTAAGGCCTACAAGAATCCCCATTCCCCAACCCACCTCCAGCCCCCAATCGAAAGGGAGCCTCCAGTCTCAAGGCAGAGCGAAGATGAAGTGAGAGTCGAGTTTCTGCTATACCGGAAGCAAGTACCCTATCTCAAGAGGCCCACTCCCCAGGTGCTCTGCAGCACGTGGACCTCAAAAAAGTCCTCCTTCAGAGAGGGACAAGGACTCATGATTCATTCATTCGGCAGACGTGGAGCCAGCACGCTGCGCGGAGCACTAGTCACATCCAAAGCCAGAAGAATGGTACCCGGCCCCTGGCCCCCGCCCCCACGCCGGGCTCACCCCTCGGCAGCCTCCAGCTGCGCCCCCCGGACCCCCTCCCCCGACTCCAGAAGCTTTCGGAAAGAATCTGGGGGACAAACCTCAAGCGCGTCTAGTCTTGGGGGAAGAAACCCCCGCCCCGGGGGCGGGGAGCGGGGGGAGACTGGGTGGCGGTGTCAGGGGATGCGGAGCGGCGCGGGAAGGAGCCGGACGCACGGGATGCGCGAGCGCCGAGCGGCGAAGGGGACCGCGGGCCGGGAACTGAGCCCCCGCTGGGGAGGGTGGACCGCGAGGCTGTCGCACACGGGAGCGGCGGGTCCCCGGGCCCCCTCTCGCCGTGCACCGGTGCCTTGTGTGCCGCGCGCCGCTTCTTACCTCGCCGCGCCGGGATCTAGGATCGGTGACCCGGAGCCGCGCGGGAGCCGCCAGCCTCGGCCGCCGCTGGCTCCGCCTCCGCCGGCCCCTCCCTGCCGCGGCGCGCGGGGTCGGGGCAGCGCGCGCGGGCGGGCGGGCGGAGGCGCGGCGCGGGCCCGGAGGGGCGGAGCGCGGCCCCGCGGCCCCCCTAGCAGCCCCCGCCCCGCGCGCAGCCTGCTCCCGGTGGACACCTGCTCCGCCGAGAATCCGATTTTGCAAACATTGATTGAGCGCCCTGCAAGTGCCAGGCACTGTGCCAGGGGCTGAGACTTCAAAGCCGATCGAGGCGGAGAGGCTGCACTGGGACATTAGCAAGCCGAACGGGGGGTGGGGGGGGTGAGGAGTGGGGGGTGGGCACCCCGCGGCAGCCAGGCCAACCCGCTGCAACAATGCTGCGTGCCGAGAAAGATTTATCGGTGCACGCTGCCCTGGGGACGGGGAGGAGCGAGGGAGGAGAAGTACGGCTGGGAAGAAGGCGGCTGGATTCTGCCTGGGTGGGAGGGGGTGGGGCTGAATGAAAAAAAAAGACTTGTGTCCAGGGGTTTCACCAAGGGAATGAGCGCTGAAACAGCCGGCTTCCATTGTGCTCTCTGCCCCCACATACTCCTGGGATACATGGTATTAGCCCCAAATATAGACACCAAAATTATTTCCTCGCTTCAGTTGAGGAAACTGAGGAATTGAAAGGTGTGTGTTCAGGAAGCAGTAGGAAGGTTGAGTGAGCGGGTGGCTGGGGATCTTAGAGGTTGAAGAGTGGCCTGGTGGATGGGTCTCCTCCCCTCAAACAGCAGCGAAGAACATCACAGCGCCCATTACAAGGGCTAAGATACACAAGTCCCAGAGAGGTAGACAGCCCCTGGCAGCATGCAGTGCACAGGCAGGCTATGAGAGGCAGCAAATGTCTCTAAGACGTTTTCCCTCATCCCTCAAGCACCAGTGTTTCTCAGATGGTCGTGTCTCTGAGCCACCTGAGGCTTGTAGGGCGGAGTGGGATTTAGCCTGCATTCTGAAGGCCCCCAGTGATGTGATATGGATAGGCTGCAGGCCATATTTAGAGAAAAACTAGGAAACGTTTTTTTGTTTGTTTGTTTGTGTTTATTTTTGGTTTTGAGACGGGATCTCACTATGTTGTCCTGGCAGGCCTGGAATCCATAGGGATCCACCTGCCTTGCGAAGGCTAGGATTAAAGGCATGCACCACCACACCTGACCGCAGAAATGTTTTTACTGGTGGTGCTTAATTTTTGAAAAATTATCAGAAGCCAACTGATGTTTTCTTTATTAGAGCATCAACAGAAGGTGTTCAAACAATGGTTTTGTGCAGTGTGTGTATGTGTGTGTGTATGTGTGTAGAACCACACACTACCTCACACCATACACAAAAATAAATCTATTTTTATTTTTATTTTTATTGGTTTTTCGAGACAGGGTTTCTCTGTGTAGCTTTGGAGCCTGTCCTGGAACTCACTCTGTAGCCCAGGCTGGCCTCAAACTCACAGAGATCCGCCTGCCTCTGCCTCCCGAGTGCTGGGATTAAAGGTATGCACACCACCGCCTGGCACAAAAATAAATTTTTAAGTGATACCATAAATGTAAGTAAATTGATACAACCCTTGGAAGGAAACAATATATTTAAATATGGGTGTAGGCACGGATTTCTCAGAAAAGATTTCAAAAAACAGCTGCATAAATGGATGGCATAAAAACCTCAACTGTGGGGCCAGAGATGGCTCAGAGGTTAAGATCGCTTGCTACTCTCGTAGAGGACCCGAGTTCAGTTCCCTGCACCATGTCAGACCACTCACAACAGCCTGTAACTACAGCTCCAAGGGATTCCGAGGCCTCTGGCCTCAGCAGGTACCCTCACTCACGTGTATGTACCCCCACAGACACATCCACCTAATTAAAATTAAATCTTTCCCAAAAACTAAAACCAATGATTAAGAAATTAAGAGAGTGAAACCAGCCATAGCGACTCACGCCTGTAATATCACCACCTGGAGGCTGAGGCAGGAGGATCGCTCCAAGTTAGAGGCCAGCTTGGGCTACATAGCGAAATTTCAAAATTTTGTGTCCAAATAGTCAGAGAGAGGGAGGAAGAAAAAAAGAGAGAGGGCTGAGGGAAGGGAGGGAGGGAAGAAGGGAGGGAGGGTGGAGGTGTGGCTCAGTAAGAAAGCATTTGCCTAGTGTGAGCAAGCCCTAAATTTGTCTGAGTGCCACCAGAAGAAAGAGGAGGAGGAGGAGGAGGAGGAGGAGGAGGAGGAGGAGGAGGAGGAGGAAAGACAGAGAGAGAGAAAATGTACAGACATGGTTGTCGCAGTTCTCGTTCATTGTTTGTGGTCAGACCTTGTAGTTCAGGCCTGTAAACCAGCACTCAGGAGGCTGAAACAGGAGGTTTAAGACTACAAACCCAAGTGCATGCCATTAATCCCAGCACTCAGGAGGCAGAGGCAGGGGGATCTCTGAGTCTGAGGCCAGCCTGATCTACAGAGAGAGTCCCGGGACTGCATAGAGACACCATGTCTCAAAAAACAGACATAGTAAGGGGGGGGGGGGTGCGTTGTGACGCTGGGGGACAGCCCAGTCAGTGAAGAGCATGCTTTGAAAATCTGAGAACTTGTGTCTGAGCCCCAGCAACCACATGTGAAAGCTGGGCATGGTGGCACGTGCTTGTAGCCCAAAGCTGGGGAGGCAGACATGTGCGGGTGCCTGATCTCACTGGCCAGACAGCCTATCCTAATTGGTGAGTCCTAGGTCGCCACAGCAAGAGGACAAGGTGGACAGCTTCTGAAGAATAGCACTGAGGTTGACTTCTGCCACCCACACTCATACACATATTCACACTCACAGGCATACACACATACACACACACATACACACACACACACACACACACACACACACACACACACACACACACACACACACACCACCGTAAAGCCACAAGCTGGGAAGAAAAATTATCTGATGAAGGACTTGTAACCCAAATAAAGAACTCTTGCCATTCAATAATAAAAAGACAAGAAGCCAAAAAAAATTGGACAAAAGACACAAGCATACATTTCACTAAAGAGGATACACAAATAACATATTGCCAGAAGAGAAAACGTTCACCCAATATAACTTGTCATCATGAAAATGCAAACTAAAACCTGTCATTTTCTGCTGCCACAACAAACTGCCACAGGCTGGCTATAATAAAGAGTAGAAACGGATTGCTTAGAGGCTGGAAAGTCCAAGGTGAAAGCACAAACAGGATCATGACTATGGCACCATGTACAAGTGTCCCTCACCCATCAAATAAGCAAGGACCGAAAGGAACCGACACTGTGTTCTCACATGGAAGGAGCCAGGAGGACTGGGGTGCTACTCCCCGAATATCATCTTAAGGGCACTAATTGTACTCATGCCTGCCAATGGGTCAAAGGGTAAATTGTGGTGTATGTATGTACAATGGTGTCCAAGTTTATACTACTGTTGCTATGACAAAATATTCTGACAAGAGCAGTGTGAGTGTCTTTTCAGGCTCACATTTGGTGGGTACAGGACATCGTGGGTGGGAATTCAAGGCAACAGGGCCTTGAAGCAGCTGGTCACGTGGTATCTGAAGGTATGAGGCAAATGGTGGTGAGTGCACGCCGTCGGTGCATTCCTTTTCTTGGTTTATACAGTCCAGGATCCCAGGCAGTGATCCACAGTGGGCATAGTTTCCACAATTAACTATAAAGATAATGCCCCACAAATACGCCCAAAGAATTTCCCCAGGACAGGCTAGGTGGCATGTGCCTGTAATTCCAGCACTTGGGAGGCTGAGTCAAGATCAGGAGTCAAGAACAGCCTGTCTCTGGGGGTGGGGCAGGGGGAAGAGGGTTGGAGAGATGGCTCAGCAGTTCAGAGTGTTCGTATTTTATCATGATAACTAACGTTCTGATCCCAGAATCCACACTGAGTGACTCAAGATACATGTGACTCTAACTCCAAGGGATCCAACACCCTCTTCTGGCTCCCAAGTGTGTCCACACACACAAGTGCACACACACTCACACAGACATGTGCATACACACACACACACACACACAAATAATAAAGAAAACAAGATCTTGTAGAAAGAGATAAAATAGAATTTGACATGCATGTACATGTCCTCTAGTGCAGGGGCTATTTGAGCATGCAGGTTAGAGGGAAAAGCAATCAAAGAGAGAGAGAGATTTGAGTGGATGAGAGCTCAGAGTGAGGGTGTTGGGGGGAGAGCTGAGTCTCCCCACAGACAGGTGAGGGAAGGGCAAAGTCGATGAAGATGACTGGGAGGCCAAGGTGTGCGTCAGCCAGCCAGAGCTAAAGTGCTCCATGAAGAGGCCATCGTAGGAGAAGGGATTCCACCCCAGAGGAGTGAGGAGTAAGAGATCTGTTTGTGCACGAAGAGAACATAGGAAGCCTGATCCAGAAAAGACAGATGCCAGCAATTCCGGAAGAGGTGGCAGGGACTGCCTCCGGCTACAGGTGCTCCTGGTTTGGCATGGCGTTCAGCCCAGGCTCCAAAGGGAACAAGGAACGATTCCAAGAGAGGAAATGGGCTCGAGCCCAGACGGGGCATCTCTAGGTGAGATGAGTCAGAGGAGAATTCTTGGTCTCGTTTACATCTCAGGAAGAAGCGGGTAACTCAGTGGTAGAGCCCCTGGCTAGCGTATGCCAGGCCCCTGCACCACACTTTAAAAAAAAAAGTTTAGGATTAAAATTTCAAATATGCACACAGGAAAGTCCATAAGCCAAACTCCCAGAGCAATAAAACCAGAACACCTGTGCAACCCACATCCTGGTAAAGAAGTAAATACTGGCAGCTCCCAGAATCCCCTGCAGACCTCTGGCTCACAGCTTCCGTGTTCTGTTTATGGCTTAATCATAAAGTATGTAGTTTACCATACACTGCTAGTAAGCCTGGTCAGTTTT